CCGCCTACCGCTCCCCACAGCCCCCGCTCTACCTGCCCCCCCACCCTCACCCACCCCCTCCCCCACACCCACCCCCACACCCACACCCACACCCATACCCACCCACATCCACATCCACACCCACACCCACAACCAGCTTACTCTGACACAAGAAAAGTAATCGGTCCCTTCGATTTTGCTTCCGTCACATAATTCGATCTAAGAAAAGGATGAAAGTGAAAAAGTGAAGCACTTACATGAATTAAACATATTGACAATTGAGGTTGGTTAAGGTCTCGAGGAGGAATGCATATCCGGAACCAATTGAAAAATCTTTATGTCTAGTAGCTATTAAGGTCATGTATGATTGCGACAGGTGAGATTAAAAGCGAAAGTAGTGTTATTGACAGAACAGGTACCTATTTGAGAAAAGGTTGGTGTGAGTGTGCGTGAGCAACTGAGATGAATGTGGAAAATTCACATTAACATTCAGCCATACGGGAAGCTTCTGGAATTTTAATATTTTTCAGAAAAATTTTCGCAGAATATGTGGGCATTTCGCCCTGACAGTAAGTTCAAGCGTATCAAACTAAGACGACTTGGAATTCTCATTTGTTTATCATCCACATTATCTGTATCTTTCCACTTTTATTATTTTTTCGTACACGATCATATGAACGATGCAGAGTCCTCTGATGATGCAATAAAAGTTTGCATAGTTGGTAATGCAGAAACCAGAAAACATGCACTCGCTATGCATCAAATGTGGGAAAACAAGTTTGACTCATTTTGGTTCATATGGAATGACAACATCACAAAACAAATCACGCTTATAAATAACATTAATTTCGTCTATTCAGATGAGAATTTATCTTGGACCAAAGGTATTGAATTAGTAGTTAATGGCATAGCTAACATTAATCAGTCTTGTGACTACATTTTTACCCATGATGATGATTTAACATTTCGTATCAAGCAACAATTCTGTATTCCCGAAATCTCTCTTCCAAACATGTTAATAAACGTATTAAAAACGTATCGACCTGCAATAGTCGGTTTCCCATGGGCTATTGGTGATAGAAGAATTTCAGCTATGAAAGAATTAGTGACAGTCTATGAAAATGAGACTATTGCACCACTAACAGGCTTCGACAACGGAATGGTTATTTATCACAAATCAGTTATAAACCTTTTTATACCATTTTCACCTCAAGGTGAAGGCAGTTTCAGAGGCAAATGGACATTATGTGCACAATTTTTACAAATGTTTGCACATTTATTATTTGGAAAATATGCTATACGTTTTAATATGTTTGAATATAACAATTCTATCAATATGGATAATACATTACCTGAGAATCATTTTAAACAACGTATAGTAATCAAAAATGGGCTCGCTTATGTTCATAATTCTCGTCATCCATATGAGTACCCACAGAATGAAGCATACAGAGCGTTTCTTTCAGATGGGTTAAAATTTCCGTATCAGTCTTGGGGGCGAACACTAAACACAGAATATCGTCTAGAGACACTTAAAGCTACTGATCTCAAGCGAAAATCATTTGACGGCTTATGGTTGCTGGAGCGCTTGAATAGAGTCTACGATGTACGTCATGAAGCCTTGTCGAACAATAAACTACTTCATGATCAGTTCACCAATAAACAAAAGTTAAGGGTTTTACAAGAGACTCATTTCAGTCTAAAATTAATACTACTAACGATGAATCGGCTGACGTCATTTGAGCGATTGTGGAAATCACTAACGAAAGCTCTTCCAATTAATCGAACTATTGAAATATTTATTCATGTGGATATGGATAAGAATGATAATAAACGACGTAAATATCTTGAATATTTAAGCAGTTTAAGAAGTTTACACGGCAATGTTCATGTTGTTGCTTACTCGGAACGACGAGGTCTAAAAACACTTATGATAGAAGCATGGCGTCCTCTTAATAATGACGAGTATGCTATCTTTCTCGAGGACGACATTGAACTGTCACCTTACTTTTTACTATACATAGACAAGTTGGTAAAAGCTTACTTTTATAATTTGATAATTGATAAACGCTTATTCGGGATATCTCTTTACAATCAGCGTTACAATGAGGTAATCGAAAAGTACGTAAATGTGCCCAACGGCTATCAACTGTATGCCTATCAAATGTCACAGAGTTGGGGAGCTCTCTACGCTCCCAGAATATGGCGAAACTTTTTAGATTTTCTTAGTAATAAATTTGACCCCTTCATTCCGAATTCTTACACGAATCGTTGGCCACAAAAAGCAAGCTGGAAAAAGTATCTGCTAAGATTTATGTATCAAGAGCAAGGTTGTTTAATCTATCCAAACTTCCGACATAATTTTTCATTAAGCACAAATCATGTTGAATATGGTCTAAATAACAAACTGTCAAACGCTACGGACGAAGCTCAACTACGAGTGAAGTTTGGTGTTCCTTTATTGTACAATAAAGAAATATTTGAACGCTTAGAAACACCTTCGTTTAGCGATCTACAGGTCTATAGTGCTCATCATAAAAGAGTCAAATCTTTAAACGACTTGAAAATTTATGTGACTAGGTTAAGTGCATTTGACACATGTACTATGATTTTAACAGTATATGATAGAACGAATACAACGTTGGATCGACCAGTCTACTACCAAAACTTTACTTATTTATCAGCGATTGTCGTGATTTGGAACAACGTTGCTATTCAGCCTATACCAAAAAAACAACTAAGTCAATTCAAAATTCCTATATACATTTTAAAAATGAAGAAAAATTCATTAAACAATAGATTTTATCCACATAATGAGATTCGAACAGACTGTATTATTAACATGGACGATGATTGGGATATGCCATATTCTCATATGGCGTTTGCAATCGATACTTGGCGAGGGCATTTTTTCAAGAATCTTGTCGGCTATTCACATCTCGGATGTAATCATGTTCCAACTTATGTGAATAGCACTTTTCAATATGTTTATAGTAATAAACTTTTACTATCAAAAAAAGGCGCATTTTACAGCATGGTACTTCCATCGGGATTTGTATATCATCGTCGTTATCTTTACCAATATACATATGAATTACCACAAATTGCACGAGATCTTGTAGATTCTCTAAAAAACTGTGATGATATATTACTTAATTTTTTAATTGCTAATACTACTAAGCAAGGACCTGTGGTCATAGATACATTTGCCAAAGCGTATAATTTTGGTGGTTTATGGAAACGGTCAACTCAGATAGAAACTCGAACGCTATGTTTGAACAAGTTTGTTAAAATATTTGGCGGAATGCCATTAAAATATACAACGACTGTGTTCAAAATTAATAGAAATCAAACAGTACCAGGAAGAAATAAACATCACTTTCAAGCCCGAATGCCGACAAAATAATCATTACTAAATCAGTATTCAACAGATAGTATAGATGCATTTTGATACTCATGGAAAAGTTCGTAGCTTCATCTTTACTCTGTGAAAAAGAGGAAAGATGTGTATAAAACACTTAGTTAGTCTCCTTTTACATATTGCTGTGAGTACTATTTAATCATAAACAGAATGAAAGACTATGAAAAGGTGATCATTTTGAAATAAAATTCATAGTACCTACTCCAAAATGTTGTTCCACGCAGTTAATCACCAAATCAAGGAAAATGAGTTCAAATGACAACTAATCACTGGTATATTCCGCCGTTTGTATCCAAAGAGAAGCAACCTACAAAAATGTCAGTTACGGCACAATCGAATGTCCTTATATCAGGATACATTTTCGTTTATTAGGCCTATTAAGCTTAATATATCCTACATAATGTTATCGTCAAGAATGAGGTCTCTTGCACAGTATTGTGCACATCTCATCATCTTTCCGCTTAGATTTTGTTCTGTATGTATGGGCGAGAGATACAGAACGATCCTCTTCATTTCATACATACCTACACATCTATCACACATTCATCCACATTTTCATCTACTCTCCAATTCTAAAAAAGTTGTTATCGCAATCTATTGGGGATCAAAATGTAAAACACAATTGATCTACATATGCTTCAATTGGGAATTAATAGCATACTGATATGTCCATGATGAAAGACATTATTTGTAACAAGTTACAGTGAGTGTAGAAATGGGATCAAAGACAGATTTGAAACACAATCTTCTTTCATAAGAGCCCTACAGACGGCTTTAGTTCTGGGACAACGTCTATAACATGTTGTGATGGGCAAGGGCTTGGCTAATATGCCTGTCACAGTCTGTGGGGAAGAGCAGATTTCTACTTTTATACTTCAACTCTCCTTTTCAATCGAGTTTCAGAAAATATAGACGTTACTCGGACTAAGCTACCTAACAATAACTAAACGAATTTCACAAAGCGACATTATTTTCTCAGTCTCAATCTACGATTAAAAGTTATTTCAATGAATTCTATTTTGTGGAGAACGCTTTCTTCTGCAAGAGAATAGATAAACCAACAGTTTTAAGCCAAAATGTTTCATAATTTGTCGTGCAAGTATAAATATTTTAGAATAATCAAGATCAATTAGTTAAAAAACAAAATTCGATGTTCTTTTTTATTATAAGATAAGAAAATTTTTGCTAACTGCTGTTCGATAATACTAAGGAATTTATGGAAAACGTTAAATCAATTGTTTCGAGTAATGCGTGTAGGTGTAAGACTGTGTAGAACTCCGTGAATATATGAGCCTTATTATCGGACTCGCTCCATTCATGCATAGAAATACCCGTGCATCAAGAACACACATCCTCCATACTGAGAGTTATTGTCAAGGAAACATTCTCAGTTGTTAGTACGATTTTTAGTCGACACCTAGTAATTTGATAGATCTTAGTGAACTGTGTTTATTTTTTAAAAAGTTCGTGCTGATAGTTTGTTTCTGGAGAGATACAAGCTTTTAAGTGGGTTTGTTCTATAGTACGACACTTTTGCAACAAAGCTATACTTTCAAATTTTGAATTGAAACTAGGGGTGGGAAGTTACCGTTCCCAGACCGTTACTCGGTAACAGTAACGGTAACGGTTCCTATGGAAGGAGTTACCAGTTACTTTTTCCTGGTAACTTTTTTAAAAAGACTAAATATCACTTCTATTGGACCGAATATTGGCAATACACCAGTAAAAAAAATTTGGAGTTACCAGTTACCCTGGTAACTGTTACCCGTTACCAGTTACCTGGGAACGGGTCAACTTAAAAAATAACGTAGTTAAAAAATCCTGTTGATGGGAAGTAATAATTCATCTTTCTAGAGAAGTTACCCGGAAAAAGTAACTGGTAATGGGACCGTTACCAGTTACCCAGGTAACGGTAACGGTAACGGTAACTTCCCACCCCTACTTGAAACTTTCCCAGTATAAAGTCTTAACACAAACTAGCTTGTATTAGAAATTTTCAGAAACTTTGAACAAAGTTTCTTCAAGATACCAAATTTCCAAAAATTACATGCTACTTATCCTATCTATGAAAAAGGGTCTGTATCTCAAAAGTTGTATATTTCAGAGAGACTCCGTTCAAAACTTCTGAAATTTTTCATTGAAGGTATTTTAGTTTACGACTGTATGCGGGCAAAGTTTTAAATCAACAGTCCGAAAGCATAGCTTTACTGCGAAAGTGTCGTGCTATACAGTAAATTCACTAAAAACTCAATATCTTTCTAGAAACAAGCCATCAGCACGAGCTTTCTTAACCATGAAAATAACTAACTAAGAACTACATCAAATTACTAAGTGTTGACTAAAAGTTGCTCCATCGCTTGAGAATGTTCCCTTGTGAGTCACAATCGCATCTATCGACTTACATTCATACTAAGCGACTTGTACAGAATGGAACGCAGAATGTTTCAGAAAATTTCCTTTCAAAACGGTCGAAGGAAATAGAAATATCAACTAAAAACTTAGGCATCCCTTCATTGTGGATCATTACTATGGTTAGGTGAGCGTTTGATAAAAATTTGAAAACATTCATCTTCGATGCAATTAACATATATCGCCGATGATATTACTTGCACTATATAAGTGCCAATGGACGACTTATGGGTTTCTCAAGATCTCAGTATTGAATTAACCAAAACAATATCATCTAATTGACAGAAAATCGATTGATGAGACTGAATCAATGGTATTTTAAATTCAATTATCTTTTATCATGATGAATAAATATAAGGCCGAAAAGACGATCAAAAAAGTATGTACGCAGTATCTTCTCGTGGTTTTCTTGGTATTACCAAGAGTTATTCAACAGTGAATTGGACCTATTTCTGGCTTCGACATTGTCGTAGAACTTACAAAAATAGCATCAAGATGATGGAAACACCATGAACACGATAAACATAAGAAAATCAAATCAATTCAGTGACACTAACGAGGGACTATATTTAGAAATCGGAGATTTTTTGAGCTGGAACTTAGTGCATCTTATAGACCTCGATAAGAAGCGTTTATTACATAAATAGTTTGGAGTCATGGCTTGTTTCTCTCGAGATATCAAAGTTTTTGCAGAATTTTCTGTGTATGGCTCTATTTTTGCAGCAAAACTATATTTTCGAATTTTGACGTGAAACTTTTACCACATAAGGGAGCCAATTAGACAAGATTATAAAAGATGCTCAGAACTTTTGGGGGAAGTCCTTTTGAAATATGAAGACTTCAATAAATGCATGCTGCATACACTATCAATGAAAAACACCCTAAAAATTGGGATCTTCATATTTCAAAGACACTTCATCGAAAAGTTCTGAACATTTTTTTGCAAGCTAATCTATTTGAGGTTGTTATGTGGTCAAACTTTCACGTGGTTTGTGCTGGAAAAGTAGAGTCATACAGAGAAAATTCACAAAATCTTGATATCTCACTAGAAACAAGTCATGGATTCGGACTATTTTTATGATAAACACGGCTCATCGATATCTACACGATGCGCTCAGTCCCAATGCAAAAGCGCTGCGGCACTTAAATGTGTTTCTTCGTAAGAATTCCGCCAATTTGCTTTTTTTCTCTGCCATAGATGATAATAGATTCCTTGAAAGGAATCTAAAGGCTACGAAAAAGAAGGAACAGCTAATTTACAAGGGCAACATGATTCGAGGCAGTCCTCGTCTTCGTATATTCGTTTTCACTGTGTTTTATAATATTTGTGGTCTGTTAGTGATATACTCCTTCTTGAATGCACCAATTAAACATACTAGAACATTTAAAAGTACAGCTCAACTAGCTGCTTTAATACGAGATTTTAATTCAAGTTCTGAATCCGAAATTTTATTGCATTATTCCGCGCTTATCACTCGAGAACTAAAGCGTTTACATAAAGAACGACACACCATCAAACAGCGATATATCATGCATGATCTTCTGTATACAATTAGTAAAGGTGTGAGCGATACGCACTCCGCCATAAAGCCACATTCTGCAGTTACGTACATAAACACTTCTTTCCTAAATTATGAGTTGAGTCCCATCAAAAATAAAATGGCGGCAGTTCTTCCTGCATCAATTGAACATCTAGCTTTACTTTTCAACTTTGCATTCTCATGCAAAATGACGAATCCATATATGGATGCCTTGTTTGATGTTATTTGGATAGTTGTTCCTGACATCCATTATAATACAATATACGATTCATTGTTGAAATCTGCCTCTCTTCAACCTGTTATGCGCATTGTACGTGAATCTAGTATCTTGCCAGAAAGAAAGAAGTTTGGTAAATATGATACATGGTTTACACAGCAAGATATTAAATTAGCGATTTCAGCTTTTATTCGTACAGACTTTTATTTATGCTTCGATGCTGATGTCATGTGTGGACGCGAATTGCACTACCACGATTTGTTTGCTGAAGATGGGCGAGCGAGGACAAGCGAAGAAAAGGCATTTAACTTCTTCGCTTATGCTAGAGGGAACTTAAATAAAACATCTTCGCATGTCAAGCTTCCTTCACCCACAATAACAGCTTCAACAAGAATGATGGCGTTTACTCCATTGCCCCTCCACACTCATGTATTATTTAGCTTCGCTCGTTTCCTCGAACAAAGAGAATGTGAGCCATGGTTACAGTATTTGATTCGTCTGCATACTACAAATAAAAAATGGACAGAGTACACACTCTATTGGATATATGCCATGTTCATCGGCGCATATAATAAGTTACATTACCCAATATACACAAAAGAGTTCTGTACTATATTGGCTCCGAAAAATGGTATCGCTTACAAATGGTTCTCTAATATGGATAATAGTAAAAAGTCGCCTTTTGTTGGTGTAAACGACCACGATAAATCTTTAGACATTGGGCGGCTTTCGCAAGAATTACGAGCTGCGCTATTGAAACAACAACTTCCTATCGTAAAGACAACGACAAACCCAGTTTCAAATCTGACATAAAAATTAACCGACCACTCACAAAGACAAAGTGAATTCCATACAAGACTATCATATATCTGACAAACTTTACATGTTAATCCTATAGTATATAATACCAAAAGTACCTATATATATCCGATAAAATAGAAACAAACACATATCCTTAACTTGAATGTGTGTGCAGGTGTGTGAATCGAATGTAACAAATAGTCTTATGGAAGCACATACCGACATACTCACTGAGGGTTTCGGGTTTGGCTGAGGCTCCATTGTAGATGAAGTGAAGTTAGCTTATGGTTAAGGCAGCATTCATTCATATACTCGTACCCACCCCCACATCCACTCCGCCTTGCTAGAAAATCATCTTCATTGGATTTATCCGATGAAAACATATCATAATTATAAATCATGTCTTTTATAAACTTTTTTCGTAAACAAAATAAGAGAATAGTTCAATTTTTATTGTAATAGTAAAATTACCTTCATCGTCATAAATATTCTTCTGTATTACGATGAAGTTTGTTAGTTAAATAAAATAAATGAGCAAGTTTTGGTATCTTATTATTTGGTTCAATTGTTTCACGATTAGGACGATGTTTATATGCAACAGCATTTATAAATCGATTAAATAAACCATCTTCATTTTGATCCTTTTGATCTTAACATTTCAAACTAACACTGAATAGATTGAATTGTAGAAAAAGAAATATCAGTAAATTGAAGAAAAGAAATGCTAAAAGTACGTATGTTATTATATGAAAATTAAAACAAATAACACAATATAATATATGGCTTTTGCATTTTACCTGATAAACATTCAATTGTTCGTTTTGGATGACCAGCAGCTACAATGGGTGTGGGTGTGGGTGTGGGTGTACTTTTAACCCACAACGACAAATATCCATAACCCCACTGCATCCATATCCACATCCCTCATTCACACTCACACCCACACATCCACACCCACACCGACACCTACACTTACATCGATGTATATTTTTCTTTCTTAACATAAACAGCACAGATAACTTTTCATCAACTGGTTCAAGCATTTTGAAGACAAAAATGAAAACTTTTTCTGCTCAAATTTATGATTTCTGTTATATTTTGGATATGAAAAACGATTAAGATGCACTACCTGCCATTGCAGTACAAAGTCATTATTCGAAATGTGAAATTCCTAATTTCAACCTCTCGTATAAATTGTCTATCTAGCCGAATATTCATCCCAAGTGATTTGAGTATTCTGCCAATAAATCAGTAGAATGAATGAACTGAATTCCACGAGATATTTGAAAGATCAGAATAGTATTTTAGAAATGAATTGTTATGAACTCTTGTTTTCTTCTTCTTCCTCGTCTTCTTCTTGGTATCCGACAATTGGAATTATTTCCTCTTTTTTCTTCTTTCTTATTAGTGTCTTACTGAGATAGCTGAATTAGTGATGCTAAATTCGCTGTGAAGAAAAAGAAACAATGATATATTGAGAAAAGAACACAGCCATATCTATTCAGTTTTGAAAAATATTCCTACGAAATTCACGATTATTTTTTGTTATCGATGTAAATATCCCATTTTTTTGTACAAATCTCTACTTTTTGCAGAAAAGGATGTAAGTGTGAATGGTGCACTTGTTTTTAGGCAAAGTCAGTCATGCCCTAAATGAAGTTTTCAAGTCCAATTGTATTAAACTAGAAAAAAAAGCAGAATAACAAATTAGTTTTTGTGTAATTAGATAAACACTGCTAGATTACACAAGACTGAAACTGTTCGAGATTTGTAATACAAGCTGGAGTATGTTATAGCAGTCAAAAAAAATTAATTCTTTTGTAGTTCTAAAATTAGCTTATGACCTGGACGTTCTGTTAGTCATGTGGTTTCGTTATTGAGCATCTTCTTGGTATACGCGAAATGTTTCTTGTTGGAGGCTTACCACCAATGCTATTACTAGCATTCATTACAATTGGTTCTACCACAATTGGTGATTTCTGCATTTTTAATTTGGTATCATAGTGCAATTTTCGTAAAGCGTTCGTGAATCGTGAAAATGGCGGTGTTAACAGTACTTTACCATTATTTGCTTGTGAATACGCTTGAGAATAGAGTTGCTGTTCTAATGTCAACACATTTTCATCTAAAATAGTTGCAGCATAAGTTAATAGTTCAGAGCCATCTTCGAATTGATATAATTTATACAGTTCAGGCATAATTTTATTCTGTTGAAACCATTGAGCAACATCGTCTCTATTCCATTGTGATATGGGTATCTCATCGAGATTGACCGCAGGTTTCCTAGAAGAAATCAAATTGAAGAGAACTCTAGTGTACTCCGCGTGATACAGTGAGTATCAAAATTATTCAACAAGATTTGTTTCTTTTTTTTCACTGACTTTAGCGCTAAAAGTAATCCAAATAGTGATTCGAGTGAAGATATCGTTTCCAACAGAAATATGCGAAAACAAAAATTGTTATCGGATTTCCAAGTTTTTCAGTATCTAGAATGCATAAATATAATTTTGTTTAGACGAATGATAAAGATAAAGCAAACAATTCTGTACAAAACAAGGTGTGTTCGAGTTCACCACAATGCTTTTTGACTTAGATACAATCATATTATGGAAGCTAGTAAAGTGGATTTCTTACTATTCACTGCATCTAGGAGTGTACTGATTCCAATTCTAGACTTAGAATTAACTGGAATCTGCATTGATTAGGAGTAGGAAGTTATTCTTATACAAGCAGCTATTGTACCAGTTACTGGATAACAGAATAACGGTGAAATTCTGGGTTTGATTTTTTTCCATCAAAGAAAGGGTTTCTGATGAAAATAACGATTTTTTTATAAAGCTTGATTAAAGGTTTCAGGTGTACAGTTCACTTGACTGAGAAAGGAACTACACAATTTTGAGAAATCGATTACCGATTTGTATTGCCCGGCCTCGATTACCATTGGTTAAACATTATAAAAAAATCATTATTTTCTCAAAGATGTCTCTCCTTGAAGAAAGTATCAATTCCAGTGAATTTCAATTTTCGTCAACTACAGTCGATTCTAGGAATTGAAACTGGTGCATATCTAAATGTAGTAAAAATATTTTTTCGTCTTCAATAAAATTGCTGTATCTAAACCAAAGAACATCGTAGAGAACTTGGATATATCTCATTCTGTAGAGAGTTGTTTGCTCTATCCTTATAATTAGTATAAACAAAATCATATTTATGCGTTCTAGATACTGAGAAACTTGGGAATCCGATAACAATTTTTATTCTTGCATACTCTTGTTAGAAATAATATTCCCCCACTCTAATCACTATTTACATCTTTTTTAGCGCTTAGTTCAGTGGAAAAAATAGGAAACAAATCTTGTTGAATAATTTGGCCACTCACTGTATCTCAATTACAGATTGTAAGTCCCCATGTAAAACATTTTTCATAGCATAATCGAAAAACAGTCGAGTTATTTTGATTATTCACATCTAAATGACTGAAAATCGATTGACTTTGATTAAAATTCGGTGTAAGAATCAATTAAAATTCATTACTACTCAAAATCAATTCAAATTGATCACCTTCTCAACAAATGTTCATTGATTAGAATGTCATTCATTGTCATTAGAAAGTATTGATAATGAATCAAAATGGCATCGCCTATAATCGATAACATGAAAAATTCTTTCTAGTCAATTAATATGTCATTGACGCTCATGGATTTTGCTAAAAATAAATGTTAATGAATCACCGTCTCACAAATGCAGAACGGTGAGCAGTATTTAACAGATGAATGTTTTGAAAGCTCTTTGAGTATAAAATAATGAGTTATTATCATCGATATTTTCAAATTATGTCAAAGCAAGAAGAGCATCAATACGTAGCACATTCGTTAGAACATGCGTATATCACTTAAACCAAGAGCGAATGAGCTTGCATCAAGCTAGTCATTAATTGCAACCTTCATCAAAAAGCAATGCTCTCTGCCAATGATAGCATACATGTAAGAAACAGTAGCTAAAGTCGGGATCATTCGGCAACATAGTGTCCTTTCAAGTTTTGGCTAAATTGATATGCAGTACCTTCACACACACCTCGAAAAATACATTAGTTGTACAGATATCCATATTTCGACTAATGGTATGTTCACTGACTGGAACAAAGAAGAAATCGGTGAAGTTCGAATCTTGACAGCGGAACACAAAAGTGCACAGAGTATGTGAAAAAACCATCAGTGAAAACTAATAGGGTAAATCCATGGGAAACGTACCACATTTACATCGACTTTCTCAGAATTGGCTGAAACTTTCAGGATTTGTACAGCTCCACGAGCTGATCATTTTAGTAATAAATGATTAAGGACTTGTATATATCATA